GTTCAATAGATCTTCTTTTCGTGTGAAGAATGTGCTGAATACCATCATTAGCCTAAAATCGCACTTACCTTTTCAACCCGAAATTCCTTTGATATTATGTTAACTAAAACAGGCGATTCCACCGCTTTTGACTTCAAATATATTAAGAACTCATAAAATAGTAAGATTATTCTCAGTAGTGATCATATTTCTTTCATTATAAACAGAGAATTCCTGAACTGGACCGCTGAACGTCAATGTAAATATTCAAATGTTGGAGCGAGGCGAACTTTCAAGACCAAACAACTTCTAGGTCATTGCGGAGGCCCGTTCTTGTAATACTTGCAGTTTTACTCGAAATATTCGTCTCAAATATAAATATGAGTAATAAACAACAATGTTAAAAAGTTCACTGGGAATTGAACTTGGTTGGTACGTGATAAAATCTACTGCAAAGTCCCTCGGGCTTCACAGCATTTGATCCCTTGACCAACCAAGTTCATTTCCCAGAGAACTTTTTAACATTGTTGTTTTTTTTCTTAAGTAAATTAATGCGAAGTGGAAATAATGCGAATTAAATTAATATGAATTAAATTGCGTTCACACGACAGCTAATGCGAAGTAAACTAATGCGAATGCAGATGTTATTGCTACAAAGGCTTTTCAGTAAGGCTATTATGACGTCATTTTCTAATCACGTCATCTTATACAGAGCATATCTATTTGACATAATGGCATAGTGTCTTCAGGAACACATTTCAGTGATTAGCATAATGTTCCTCTGTTTTCACTAGAATATAGCACTTAGTACTATAGTACTTATAGTAATATAGTACTTATATCTGACCTCTGTTATATAGCATGTGACTTACTTTTGCAATTACACATGCGTCAAAATTTAATTAGAATTAGCTTTGCCTAGCGTTCACAGGGAGCTAATGCGAAGTAATTAAGTGCACAGTAAATTAATTTGTATTAAACGAATTCGTATTAAATTCCCCGTGTGAACGCTGTTAAAATTGAATTCGCAGTAACTTACGCTTAATTCGAATTAAACTCTCCGTCTGAACAGGGCATTACTTTGCATCAATGTACTGCAAATTAAATTCTCCGTGTAAACAGGGCATAAAAATCGGTTTGAAACAATTATCCAAATTCCTGCTCGTCTGTGTAGGCTTGAAGATACTGCGAGAATATCTGAATTAGAAATTTGTGTGCTTCCCTGGGACTTAAGTGTTGATTAGGCTCTAATATCATTTGAAAGCTTGTTAAATTTGCTATTTAATGATCCTTATTTAAACTTCCATTTATATCTTATTAAAAAAAATTATTGATACTTTAATTCAAAATCTAATGAATAAATATTTTATAAATCAACTTTTTTTGTATTTCACCTCTCGCAGTCATCATTTTGCCTCAAGGTAGATTAAAGATTGAACTTAAAAATCATATCTTAGATTTTTGATAAATCTTCTTATTCAAAAGTTACAGCCAATATATTAGCCTAATTTTACATTTGCCTCAATAATTCACGAACTAAGCAAGATATCAAAAGTCTGAGATACGGATTTGTGAACACACATTTGCGAAGCAATTGAGCCAGTTTTCAAAGAAATTGCTGTATAAATGAAGGAGCTGAATCCTTTGAAATGATACCACAAACTGTCTGTTCTTACTTTACAGTAGAGGCCAAAAAACCATTACACAACAAAATCTGCCAAAGCTAGAAATATACGACATCTTAGAGTTTCAGCTTTGGATACCTGTCGCTTATCCATATTTCCTATGCATCTTCACAAGAATGGGAGGTTCTTTTCTGTATTTAGGTGTTTTCAATTAAGTAAAACAAGTTCAATCCTGTATTAGAAAGATTTCCCGGCAAAATGGCAAGAGCTAGGCCCCATCTCCAATTTTATGGTCATTAGTGATCTGTTAGGTCTCCCTCCCTAAATCTAGAGTCCCTGTAGTTAATTACTGATAACCTCTGTGTGGCTAGTGAAGAATTCCCCAACTGTTCACAGTGATTTATTGCATCTTTCAGAGCAGGCAGTCACAGATCAAATCAGAAGTTTCAATAACGGAACATTCACATGTGTTAGTGTTTATGTATCATTATTGTTAAATAATTAGAAAACCAATTCATAATCAGCAAGAATTTTTCATGCATTATGAAGCAGTGATTAACTTCTTTTTCTTAGCCAAATATATCTCAGAATCGACATAAATCTTGAAAAAAAGCCGTTGGTGTATCTTTAAGGTAGGTCGCGGGTTTACTGCGTAAAAAATCTTGCGAAAAAACATGTCTTGAAAATTTGATATAATGTTCCTCAGAATTTGTAGCTTATTATTTGTAATTTTTATCAAATTTGCCTACTTGGATTTCATGCTATATTTCTGTCAACGCGGCATAGTTTTTGGTACTATTTTTACGCTTTCCTATGGAAATATAAAGAAAAATGGCGTTTAAAAACCAATTTTACGGAAAGAGTTTCTTTTAAAAACGTCGAATAACTTTTTTTAAAGACGTAGACGAATTAGTCAAGAATTTCAAAATATCAAAATGAGGTAAAATTTGAAATATTGAGATAAAAAAAAAATCAATATGTCTTCTCGTTAGTTTTTTTTTTTTTTTTTTTTTTTTTTTTGCTATATAATTTCAAAGTTTACGTTTATATTACCAAAATGTTGCGTTTTAATATGGCGTTATTTATGACTATAACGTCATTTTGAAGAATGTTATTGCGTTTACATGGATAGCTTTATATTTGGAGTATACGAGATTAAAAAGTTGACATAGATGTACACTGTAATTTTATTCAGCATTTCACTTATTGCGGAAACACGTTAGGAAGACCTGCAACTTATCTCCACTAGTACTGATACTGCCCACATAGTCAGAATGAACGGTATATTGATATACACATTCTTTTCTTCATTAGAGCTAATATCCAGCGATAACACCATAATTCATGTACTTTTAGGGCTTTCATGTTCATTCAAATTTTATCACTTCATTCGAAAACGATGAAAAAAAACCCATATCCACTACTGAGGAAAGGGGTGAGGGGGAGGGGGAGGGGGGGGGGGTTACTGGCAATGTTCTTTTTACATCAGTTGCATGCCAGTATATCGCCCTCACTCTCAAACATTTGTTATTTTTCTTTATCAAATTTTCATCGGCAAAATGTAAATAACTTGCATTCAGCTTATACACACGCAGCTTTTTTGAATAAAAAAATGTTCTTGATACTTGTATTACGTAATAGTATATGATTATTTTTTTACAGTATCATATAGGATTTATTATATAAATATTGCATGCTAGCTAGGGTAATATTGGAAATTGTCACCCCAAGAAAACCATTGTTGACAGAGGCGAAGCCGAGGTCAACAATCTTTTTCGAGGGGTAACAATTTCCAATGTTACCCTAGCTAGCATGCAATATTTATCATATTATACTGAATGTGATATATAAAATGTTTAACAGTGTATGTATCAAAATGAAACAACTTTACTTTTTTAAAAATGTCTTTCTTTAATCACAAGTCAAATTGAATTCAATTAATATCACAGAACACTGTGTTGAAAGAAAAAAATATCACATCACACCATGTTTTTAATTAAATAAATATCATATAACATATAACATTAACTGAACAAATGAATATCTCAGAACAAATGGATATCACAGTTTGAGTGGAACATAATATTAAGGATCAGTTCAAAGAAGTTCACTATTTACTTTGGGGGCACAAAGTTGAAATGAACCACACAGTTATTGAGAGATTGGTATAGATTAATGACCATTGAACTGACACTAGGGGGTACTGTATTTAAGTTTAAGAAATTTAGTGGCTGTGGAGATTCCATCGATTTCTCCTAGTTTGTAGGAACTTCTGAAAATGTAATGTCATTAAATATAGCATCGAGTTCCTCCATAGTTATATCTTCTAAAGCAACGTTTTCATTCTCTTTCTGATCATCTCGTGATCCTAGAATTCCACTTAAACAGTCTGTCATTTCCCGTTTCTTTGGATCACTGAGTTTTTCAACCATCGATCAGTTTATTGAATTCTCCATCTCTCATAGTCTACGGAATTTTGTTCATATAAATTCCACTATATACTAAGCCAGGAGCGATAACTCTTAAAGTTATGATGAAATTTGAGAAAACGAACAGTAATCAAGCTCAAAGGTTAAACACAGACCTCTGAAAACAGAGGTGTGATCAGGTGCCATGGAGGATTGAGTGTCCGCTATCGACTGGTCACACCCAACGTGTGCTCTTCATCGGTAAAATAATATAGATACATCTGTACACAGTTCAGTGTGAAAATAATGGCCTTATAATTCTTATAAAAGACTTCAGTAATATATTCGACTTAACCAATGAAATATGTGGAGATAACGAACAGTATTCGAGCTCAAAAGTCCATTAAACATTACAAAATAGAAGCAGAGCATACAGGACCTCTAAGACATCAGAGATGGGATCAGGTGCCATGGAGGAGCGAGCATCCCCTGCCGATCGGTCGCACCCGTCGTGTCCTCCTTGTCATGATCAGAAAATAACGGAAAAATCCGTCGACAATTCAGTGTGTAAATAATGGCCTAACAATCAGTATGAAAAAGGGCAGTCAGCATTTGACTTAAAGATTGTATTTGCTGACAAGGTCATTGTATCGACCAAAGAACTTACGAAATGATGACTTTAAACGAGACTTCTGATATTCTTGTTTCATCAACTTGTTTGTCAAAAACTTACATCGTTTTAGAAATTTTTCATACGTACAGCATGTTCTAGCGTATCGAATCAGCTGAGAGATATATAAAGTGAAAAATAAAATGCAGTTTCCATGTTAATGATTCATCCAACCTTCTCATGTAGAAGAGAAAACTCTGCCTCATAGGAGTATAAAACAAGTTGGCTTATAAAATCATGCCATAGTAAATAAAGAAAAATGATGTTTAAGATTTCAAAATATCCAAACTAACAAACTTGTTTATTTCAATAACGAAGGGAATGAGGCAACCCACGCCTTAAGAAGGGATAAAAAGCAAGAACTCCGAATTGATCTCCAGAGACATAATGGAGAACAGGCTTATGCTGTGTATGCCACATTTTACATCGTAGATGAAAACAATAAATATACCCTTACAGTATCTGGTTACAACGGAATAGCAGGTGAGTGAAAAGTTCAAGATATTGTATAATGAAAATATATTAAACATATTAGGTGCATATAGTGCCGAACATAAGTTTTTCAATACAGAGACAGGGGGTATTTTAACATGTCATGTATGAAAATATAAATTCAAAGTTCTTCGGCACATGCCATTTATTTTAAAAACTTATCTAAATCCTTCCCAGGCCTTGAGGCTCATAGGCTAATATAACTGATTTCTGTAGATTTCTGTAGTGCTAAGCGATATCAGTCATAAAATTTTCTTCAATGAGACTCAAGCCATCGCAAGCTAATCTCCATAATTCTTATCTAGTTATCTGGTGGAAGAAACAATACTGATGGGTATCTCATGTTTTGACACAATACAGTCCAAACATTGAGATTTGAACAACCAGCAATCTTTGAAAGCTTGGCAAACGCCTCTTAGCCACTGAACCATCTTCGTATCAATAGTTTGTCTATGATAACTGAAAGGGTATATTCACACCTGAGTCTAGGACAATGGACTAATCGTTAATGTTTAACGATAATTATCTAATTGATTAATTAAAAAGTTGAAGATTTCAATATGATCAATACTGTGTTCCAGGTGACAGTTTGATTTATCATAATGGTATGAGATTTACCACTAAAGATCAAGACAATGACGTCAACAGCGGTGTTAACTGTGCTACGTCATGGCAGGGAGGCTGGTGGTACAAGTCCTGCCACCACGCCAACTTAAACGGAAAAATTCGCCGAGGCAAATGTGTCTGGTTGTCAATATGCGGTATGGTTTCATTGGAAAAGAAACTACGAAGCGCTACAAAAGACTAAGATAATGATGAGATATTAGAACTAGATTAAATGTATAATCTGTCCGGATATATTTGTCAAAATTTATAGTTTTTCCTTGTATACGATTTTTCTTTTCTCACAAAATATCACACATATCAGTTTGTCTCTTCCTTATTTCAGAGTGTAATAAATTTTGACATATTTATAATTAATTTGTCTTCTTTAAATGATGGTACATGTGATATGCCATTCCAAGGAGACAGGTGTACTTAACTTGTCATGACTAAACCTGAAGGGACAGCATACTGAATCCAGATGTCGTATAAATTAGCAGTTTGGTAGCACTGAATTATACTGTGATCTGATCATTGAGCTGTCTGGTACATGTAGTACTGAAGCTATCAAGTTATTTGTGACGTGCTCAAAAGGCCGTCTGGTTTCTCTCTTTATTATAACTGTTATTAATACCCAAGTGCGGTGATGGCGGAAACAGAGAAACACTATGATAAAACAATATGCAATTTATTAGCGCCCGCAATTTTAATATAGTACACAATACTAAGACAATATCGGAGCTGACAGACAGGTCTGTCCTGCTCGTCAGATAACACAAAAAGAGAGCGAGGATAGATACACGTCACAGCAGGTGCAGTCGTATACCACGTGATCGGAGGTAGCAGGGCAATCCGTGCTTAGCACCTCCAGGACCACTACACTCCTCCCCATTTTGATAAAGGGCGTCCCAGCCCGTAATACAATGGGACAAACTATAATGTACACCAGAGTAAAACAGATTAACACCTAGCAGGGCCTACCATACAAATACACATAAACAATACAAGCATACAATATCAATATCAATTACTCATTAATGTTCATAATAAAATTATATAAAATTAACACAGTAAATGTCACAGATACTCATGACACTCCTCCGAACCCCGAGTCGTCTCGGTCCAACGCGTAGTCCCTCGATGATCTCCGACTCCTGTCGTCTACCACGTAGTCCAACTTTGTCATTATCCACTCAACTTGCATACAGGACATCCACAAACTTCAAAACATCCAGAACAGACATGGTATCTAACGTTAATTCCACATCCATGACTCCGTCATGAATGCTCCATCCCAGCCCTGGTAAGCTCTGCCACATCTACCAGAACGTCGACTCTGCGGCCATAACATCATAAATAATACTTCCGGGACCTGGATATCCCAAACAGCAGGTGCGTGTCGTATACCACGTGATCGGAGGTAGCAGGACAATCCATGCCCAGCACCTCCAGGACCACTTCACCAAGTTTATTGTGACGTGCACAAAAGGCAGTCTGGTAGAATCTAGTAATGATACACTGTTAAATGTGTCATTGAAAAGCGATGTAGTACAAATTAAAATCTTAATGTGTCATTGATAAAACAATGTAATACAAATACACTGTTTAATGTGTCATTGATAATACAATGTAATACAGGTTAGACTGTGTAATGTGTCGCTGATGAAACAATGTAATACAGTTTAGACTGTACAATTTGTCACTTATAAAGCAATGTTGTGCAGAGTAGATTGTGTAATGTGTCACTGATAAAACAATGTAATACAGATTATACTGTGCAATGTATCACTGATAAAACAATGTGGTACAGATTAGACTGTGTAATGTGTCACTGATAAAACAATGTAGTACAGATTACACTGTGTAATGGGTCATTGATAAAACAATGTAGTACAGATTAGACTGTGTAATGTGTCACTGATAAAACAATGTAGTACAGATTACACTGTGTAATGTGTCACTGATAAAACAATGTAGTACAGATTACACTGTGTAATGTGTCACTGATAAAACAATGTAGTACAGATTACACTGTGTAATGGGTCATTGATAAAACAATGTAGTACAGATTAGACCGTGTAATGTATCACTGATAAAACAATGTAGTACAGATTACACTGTGTAATGTGTCACTGATAAAACAATGTAGTACAGATTAGACTGCGTAATGTGTCATAGATAAAACAATGTAGTACAGATTAGACTGTGTAATGTGTCACTGATGAAACAATGTAGTACAGATTACACTGTGTAATGTGTCACTGATGAAACAATGTAGTACTGATTACACTGTGTAATGTGTCACTGATAATACAATGTAGTACAGATTAGACTGTGTAATGGGTCATAGATAAAACAATGTAGTACAGATTAGACTGCGTAATGTGTCATAGATAAAACAATGTAGTACAGATTAGACTGTGTAATGTGTCATTGATGAAACAATGTAGTACAGATTACACTGTGTAATGTGTCACTGATAAAACAATGTAGTACAGATTAAACTGCATAATGTGTCACTGATAAAACAATGTAGTACAGATTATACTGTGTAATGGGTCATTGATAAAACAATGTAGTACTGATTACACTGTGTAATGTGTCACTGATAATACAATGTAGTACAGATTAGACTGTGTAATGGGTCATAGATAAAACAATGTAGTACAGATTAGACTGCGTAATGTGTCATAGATAAAACAATGTAGTACAGATTAGACTGTGTAATGTGTCACTGATGAAACAATGTAGTACAGATTACACTGTGTAATGTGTCACTGATGAAACAATGTAGTACTGATTACACTGTGTAATGTGTCACTGATAATACAATGTAGTACAGATTAGACTGTGTAATGGGTCATAGATAAAACAATGTAGTACAGATTAGACTGCGTAATGTGTCATAGATAAAACAATGTAGTACAGATTAGACTGTGTAATGTGTCATTGATGAAACAATGTAGTACAGATTACACTGTGTAATGTGTCACTGATAAAACAATGTAGTACAGATTAAACTGCATAATGTGTCACTGATAAAACAATGTAGTACAGATTATACTGTGTAATGGGTCATTGATAAAACAATGTAGTACAGATTATACTGTGTAATGGGTCATTGATAACACAATGTAGTACAGATTAGACTGCGTAATGTGTCACTGATGAAACAATGTAATACAGATTACACTGTGTAATGTGTCACTGATAAAACAATGTAGTACAGATTATACTGTGTAATGTGTCACTGATAAAACAATGTAGTACAGATTACACTGTGTAATGTGTCACTGATAAAACAATGTAATACAGATTATACTGTGTAATGTGTCACTGATAAAACAATGTAGTACAGATTAGACTGTGTAATGTGTCACTGATGAAACAATGTAATACAGATTACACTGTGTAATGTGTCACTGATAAAACAATGTAGTACAGATTAGACTGTGTAATGTATCACTAATAAAACAATGTAGTACAGATTAGACTGTGTAATGTGTCACTGATGAAACAATGTAGTACAGATTATACTGTGTAATGTGTCACTGATGAAACAATGTAGTACAGATTAGACTGTGTAATGTATCACTGATAAAACAATGTAGTACAGATTAGACTGCGTAATGTGTCATAGATAAAACGATGTAGTACAAATTTGACTGTGTAATGTGTCACTGATGAAACAATGTAGTACAGATTACACTGTGTAATGTGTCACTGATAAAACAATGTAGTACAGATTATACTGTGTAATGTGTCACTGATGAAACAATGTAGTACAGATTACACTGTGTAATGTATCACTGATAAAACAATGTAGTACAGATTACACTGTGTAATGTGTCACTGATAAAACAATGTAGTACAGATTATACTGTGTAATGTGTCACTGATGAAACAATGTAGCACAAATTACACTGTGTAATGTGTCACTGATAAAACAATGTAGTACAGATTACACTGTGTAATGTATCACTGATAAAACAATGTAGTACAGATTACACTGTGTAATGTGTCACTGATAAAACAATGTAGTACAGATTACACTGTGTAATGTGTCACTGATGAAACAATGTAGTACAGATTAGACTGTGTAATGTATCACTGATGAAACAATGTAATACAGATTACACTGTGTAATGTGTCATAGATAAAACAATGTAGTACAGATTAGACTGTGTAATGTGTCACTGATGAAACAATGTAGTACAGATTACACTGTGTAATGTATCACTGATAAAACAATGTAGTACAGATTAGACTGTGTAATGTGTCACTGATAAAACAATGTAGTACAGATTAGACTGTGTAATGTGTCACTGATAAAACAATGTAGTACAGATTAGACTGTGTAATGTGTCACTGATAAAACAATGTAGTACAGATTAGACTGTGTAATGTGTCACTGATAAAACAATGTAGTACAGATTAGACTGTGTAATGTGTCACTGATAAAACAATGTAGTACAGATTACACTGTGTAATGTGTCACTGATGAAACAATGTAGTACAGATTATACTGTGTAATGGGTCATTGATAAAACAATGTAGTACAGATTAGACTGCGTAATGTGTCACTGATGAAACAATGTAATACAGATTACACTGTGTAATGTGTCACTGATGAAACAATGTAGTACAGATTATACTGTGTAATGTGTCACTGATAAAACAATGTAGTACAGATTAGACTGTGTAATGTGTCACTGATAAAACAATGTAGTACAGATTACACTGTGTAATGGGTCATTGATAAAACAATGTAGTACAGATTATACTGTGTAATGTGTCACTGATAAAACAATGTAGTACAGATTAGACTGTGTAATGTGTCACTGATAAAACAATGTACTACAGATTTATACTGTGCGATATGTCACTGACACAATAATTTATTACAGATTGGAGTATATTATGTGTCACTGATTAAATAATGACTGTGTTACAGTCCCTGAAACGTTCTGCTTTCCCACTTGAACGGTGAACGAACGCTGAACGAACGGTGAACGAACGCTGAACGAACGCAGAGCGAACGGTGAGTGAACGATGTGTGAACGCTGAACGCAACTTGATGAACGATGTGTGAACGCTGAACGGTGAGCGAACGCAGAACGCGAACGGAGCGCAAACGCGAACGCAAAGTGAATGGTGAACGAACAGTGAACGCAAGATGAACGATTTATTCGGAATCCCTCTGAT